CTTGAAAATCACAACAAATAAATAGCTAAATAAATAGATAAATGTTAAAAGAAAGAAATGTGGCTAGTGAAAGATACTACCTTTTGAGAGTTAAGAGGCCTAGGTCACTGCCTTGGACATGTCATTTGACCTTTCTAGAATTTGAATTCCTTCGATTCTCAGACCTAGGTTTCCAAGGCTACTGCTGGTTTTCAGATTTTCTACTCAAAAAAATTTCTCCCCTGGGCTATATGTTTCAACCTGATAGAATATTGTCAGAGGGACCAGCAGATGGTGTAGCAGTTACATCAGTGGATTCCCACATGACCGACTGTTTAAGTCCTGGACCTGGTGGCTTCAAACTCACACCAGGCATGTATGCATGTGAGTCTAAGATCCCGGGAGGAGAGTGAAGGAGAAGGGATGATAGCATGGCCATCCTCCCTGGGGGGTGACTTCTCACTTTCCCTTTCACTTTGTCTGTCTGTCTCTCCAGCGAACACATGTACCCTAAGGCAAAAACCTTAAAAAAAATACAGTATTGTTAGAATACATAATCTACAGACAGGCACAGCCTCCTTCAGTGTTCTAAAAATGCTTATTCTGTTTTTGAGATGTTTCTTCTTTCAGCTTGGCACGATTTGCAAGAAAACTTTGAGTTTGATGTTGCTTTATTATTATTTGTTCACATTTGATGAGTCCAAACTCACCCCAGGCAGCTGTTTATGAAATCAGACATGACTCATTGATCTGTGAGCATTGATTCTCAGAACAGTCAATGGACTGAAAGAAATGTACCCAAACTCAAGTCATTATAGTCATTCAGAAATGAAAAGGGAAAATTCTCATTTGTTTCACTTTTTATTTCCAAATATAATACATCAGGACGGGTCGCAGCTTGGTATTAATTAGAAAAAAAGTAGTACTTGAAAGTTGCAAAGCACCAAGGGACATTTTGAACCTTGAAGGGGGACTAGGTTAGACTCCATTGATCAAAATTACTGTGCTTATTCTGGACTAGAGCCCTGAAGCCACCTGATCAGAGCCTTTATATCTGCAACCAGCAGCAATCGTCCTTCTAATTAGCTGCACATGGTGCAACTGCAAGCTCCTGAAAACCCAATCATGACTTTTTTTATACACCCATAAGGTAAGTGGTAAATGTGTGGACTTTCTTGTTTCTGGGAAATATATAGAATAGTCCTGTGTGTGTGTGTGTGTGTGTGTGTGTGTGGTTTAGAAAGATAAACTCTGAAATAAAATGCAGGAAAAGAACACCAGCTTTTATATAGGAGACACTCAATTAGTATTTGGTAATAAGAGAACATTTAAGAATATTTATAGGACATGTAGGCATTTAATAGTAAAAGGTAGGTGTTTTTTGTTAGGACATATAGCACTCCTTGTCTACTGGACCTTGTTCTTGATGCCAATATGCAAGATTGTGTAACTTGTTATTTAAAAATAGTAATTTCCACATCCTAAAGATATAGAGGCAAGCAGAAGCATTATTTGATTTAGAATTGCCACATGAGGGTAAATTTATTAACATGAATGAGCTTTTCCACCATGAGGTGGTTTTTATATAATATAGAAGCTCCAGATTTTTTTTTAAGTGCTAAAAAAATAATTTTTAACAAAGAATAATGACCAGAAAAAATGTAAGGAATAGTTTTGAGAAAAAAACTAAACTCTCCACGACAAGAGGTTATTAAACTATTATTTCAGTTAATGAGGTATGAATTTAGAATTTTTTATTCTAATTTTTATTTGGAAGTAACACATATGATTACCTTCTTAATTTTAAATTTCAAACAATTAAGTATATACAGTAAAATAAAAGTCTCCTTAATACCACCTCCAAATTCTGTGAGGTACCAACCACTTTTTCAATTTTATTTTGTAAAAATTCTTTATAAATATATATGCTCATACAGGTAAAATTTTATATAAATGTGTACATTGGGTAAAAATCAGTTATGCGTTCTTAGAAATCTTTTTTTTTTTTTTTGTCTCTTCCTTCTCCCTCCAAATCCCTCTCCATCCTCATTACTTCACACAGACATCAGGTAAGTTCATGGAAAAAGAGAATTAAAGTAGAAGTTTATTTTGGTGCATAAATACTTAGAAATCCATGCATAGTTTTTTCATAATAAGCATTTCTCATAAACTGTTTGAAGACTCTCCAGTATTAATGTCCTACATTTTTTCTTCATGCTCATATCCATCTTATAGATATATGCATACATATACATGCACATTTATAGGGTTTTATTTAACTCAGTGATTTACAATCTCACATTGAATGTGTGGATTAATTAATTTGGAAAGAATTAACATGGTTATAATATTGAGTTTTCTGATCCTTCAGTGTGGCATATCATCATGACATTTATTTAAATAGTAGTTATGTGCGTGCCTATTCAACATTGTCATTTCCTTTTTTTTAATTGCCAGAGGGTGCTTGTGCTTGCCAGACAGAGAGAAAGAGAGGGACAAAGCATCCCCACAATGGGACATGGTCACTCTGCAGTCCCTTCTCCATTTCTTTTTCCTGTTGGGATTTGGGGCATGTATGTGCACACACCTGGAATATTTTTCGAGCTGCCAATGCTGAGCTTTGAACCATGGTCAGTTATGTGAGGTCTGGCTCCCTTAACCACTAGACTTCAAGGTGACCCTATCTCTTACTTAAAATTCTGTCCTGCTCTGATTTCAGTGACACTGCCCTCATGAATTTCTCCTCTCTGTCTTTGGCAACTTCTCATTTTTATTTATAGCCATTTTTGTTTGTTTGTTTAACCTGTGCTATTTCTCAGGATTCTGTCCTTGGCTCACTTTTTCTTCTTGTTCCTGAGTAATTTCCTCCACCTATACAATGGTTATTCAGAAATGTTTGTCTCTTGTTTGTACCATTTCTTTCTTTCTACTTAAAAATTTTTGTCTAGACTCAAATATTTACTGGGCTTCCCGACTTCTGTCAATCAGTTTGGATGGATACAATCTGCATTTTATTTTTCCAGTTATGATTTCTAGCATTAATGTGCTTAAAAACCATTTCCCTACTTCAAGATTATGCAAGCTTTCTCTCTCATGTCATATTGAAGGATAATAATAAATACATAACATTATAAAAAGATTATGCAACATATTCTTTTTTATTTTATTTCATTTCTTTTATACATTCAATCATGTTATTTAGCTTGTAAGCTGAATATTCCAGCATGTGTACATTTCTCCCCAGTCCAGTTGATAATACTATAAAGTTATCTTCAATAGATAATACCCCATTTCTTTGTCCCATTAATGCTATGCCTTTCTATTTTTCTCCCTAATGTCCTTCCTCAGACTCTACTCCTTCACCCATCCTTTTCCCACACTGGTATTCACAACCATTTACTGTGTTTCTATATCCTTTAGTCATTCAGTTTTGGTCACAGAGTGCAGACACTTGGTATATATTAATTGGAGGCATACAATATCTCTCATAGCCTGGCTTGCTTCACTCAGCAGTAAATCTTCCATATTCATCCACTCTCTGTCAAAAGCCAGGGTCTTGTTGTTTTTATGGCTGAGTAATATTCCATAGAGTATATGTGCCACAACTTTTTAATCCATTCATCTGTTCATGAACATTTGTGTTGGTTCCATGTCTTAGCAATTGTTCTTTTGTACTTAAATACTTTAATGGTTAACTTTTTCAATGTAATACATCTGGAATTTATTTTTGTGTTTGGAGATAAATAGGGAAAAACTAAGGATTCCATATGCATTTTTTCTCTTGTATTTTCTTTGGCAGTTATTTATTTTTGTCTTTTCAATCTTTAAATGTTATTGGGAGTGCTTAATGATCAAATACAGTAAGGGTTGAGACCAAATATATCTTATTTGTTGTTAAATTGCTGGCGTCTAGTACTATGCCTAGACAGTAAGATTTTTGGTAAATATTGAATGAGCAAATCATGGAAGGGGTAAATAGTTTCTTTATCTATTTTAACGTACTAGTACTTTTCTTTTTTTAAATATCTTTTTATATCTCTTAGGCTTCCATATCTTAGAAGGCTTTAACATGTCAAGTGTTTTAATCTCACTGAACTTTGAAAAACTTTAGTTTTTCAGGGTAAACAAAGTAATCAGTCCTTGTCATCTATCCCTTCATTCTTTTCCCTACCCCAAGATTTCTAGAGACGTTTATATTCACCCTTCTTCTAAGTTAGCAAAAATTCCATGAAAACATGATATTCAAGATATAGTTTAGTGTATTTAATCATGTGCTATTATTGTTTTTGTGTCTGCCTGACACAAAACTACCTTTTTCTGAGCCAGTCCTTGAGGGTTTACTTGGCTAATTTCTGTTTTATTTGTACTTTATCTTGCAGTGAAAGCCATGGATAATATGCAAGGGAGATCTTCTTTGTTTTTCCTGATGGTGGTTATTTCAGTGATAAGATTAAGTAACTGAATTTTAAAGTGAAGACAATTCAACTGCTATTATATATTGATCCTTCTGTGTGCAAAGACCAAAATGCTACTGAAAACAGGCATGGACTGTACCTCTCCAAGAAGGGGGATATACACACAAATATCTCAAAACTCATTTAAGCACAGCACTAAATAAATGATAGAAACAATAGGGTTGTGAGAATTCAGGAAAGGGAAAAATAACTCCAACTTGGGACAGTTGGGTAAAGCTTCCTGAGGAGTTGAGACTTATTAACATTAACATGTTAGATGTATGGTTAAATGGGACATCTTATATGGGTAGAAGAATGAGCAAATTGTGCAATGGGAATGCACTGTTCAAATGTAGAGGTCAGTGAGTATATTAAATTGACCGGCAGCCATGTGGGAAAGTATAAGAGGATAGGAAGCAAATTGGGTCAGATTGTGGAAGGTCTTTTCTTTTCTTTTTAAATAATATTCCTTGGGAACATTTTATTTTATCAAGCAAGGACCATGAATATTAGGACTGGCAAATCCTTTAGTTTTGCTGACATGGAAAAATAGCCTCCTGTATTTGTGAGCCTATGTCTTTATATATTACACCCATGGGTGCTATTAACCTCAGTGCTTTCTGTGTATTTCAGACATTAGTCTCTAACCATGGGGGATTGGAACTTACTGGGTGGCATTCTAGAGGAAGTTCATTCCCACTCAACCATAGTGGGGAAAATCTGGCTGACCATCCTCTTCATCTTCCGAATGCTGGTACTTGGTGTGGCTGCTGAGGATGTTTGGGATGATGAACAGTCAGCATTTGCCTGCAACACCCAGCAGCCAGGTTGCAAGAACATCTGTTATGATGATGCTTTCCCTATCTCTTTGATCAGGTTCTGGGTTTTACAGATTATCTTTGTGTCTTCTCCTTCTCTGGTGTATATGGGCCATGCACTTTATAGACTCAGGGCCTTTGAGAAAGAGAGGCAGAGAAAAAAATCACATCTTAGAGCCCAGCTGGAAAACCCAGAGCTTGACTTGGAGGAGCAACAAAGGATAGATAGGGAACTGAGGAGGTTAGAGGAGCAGAAGAGGATCCATAAAGTTCCTCTGAAAGGATGTCTGCTGCGTACTTATGTCTTACACATCTTGATTAGATCTGTGCTGGAAGTGGGGTTCATGATAGGTCAATATATTCTCTATGGGTTTCAAATGCACCCTCTTTACAAATGTACTCAGCCTCCTTGCCCCAATGCAGTGGATTGCTTTGTATCCAGACCCACAGAAAAGACCATCTTTATGCTCTTTATGCACAGTATTGCAGCCATATCGTTGTTACTCAATATACTGGAGATATTTCATCTGGGCATCAAGACAATCACGAGGGCACTTTATGAAAAATCCAGCAGTGAGGGCATTGAGTATGAAAGTGGTCCTCCATTCCACTCAAAAAAAAATGCAGTGCCTCAGCAGTGTATGATTTGCTCTTCCTTGCCTGAAAGAATGTCTCTACTTCAAGCCAACAATCAACAGCAAGTTATCCAAGTCAATGTGCCAAAGTCTAAAAGCATGTGGCAAATCCCACAGCCCAGGCGACTTGGGATAGACCCTTCCCGTAGCAAAAAAGACTGGTCTGAGAAAGATCAGCACAGCGGACAGCTCCACACTCACTGCCCAAGTCCCTGGGATGGCGGTGCCAGAATTCAGCACCGCGGACAGCAACAAACTCATTCCTCTTTTGGACCACATAATACAGTGCCCCAGTCCTGGCTAGGTAAAATGACGGCCTCTAGACACTGTCCATCCTATGCAATAGGAACCTTGGAAAAGTCTCAGGATCTGGAACTTTCAGGTGAGCCTCTCACAGATGTACACAGTCACTGCAGAGACAGTGATGGCAGTGTGAGAGAGAGTGGGATTTGGATAGATAGATCTCGCCTGGGCAATCACAAGGCCAGCTTTCTGTCCAGATTGTTGTCTAAAAAGGGACAGCTGCACAGCGATCTAGGAAGTTCCAGCTCTCAGAATAGCTCCTGCATGGATTTTACCCACCGAGAAAACAGCCCCTCACCTCTGCCTTCTACCACTGGGAACAGAACATCAATGGTAAGTAAAGACAAATACCCCTTCTGGTCACACAATGATCACAAGAGCTGTTCCACTCTGGTAACTTCTTTCCCTTTCCTCCTTCCTGGTGTGTATGTGTGTGCATATAGAGAGGAGATGGAAAAGAACATTAATTTAACGTGGGAGAAATTTATGTATTTAATACATTTAGTTAAATTCCATTAATAAAATAATCTTATAGAAAACTTACTTTATATAAATCATTTTAATTTCTAGGTCTGTGGATGGATAGAGGTTTTTGCTATAGGGCGTGTGCGCTCACCAGACAGACAGAGAGAGACATAGAGACAGAAAGCGAGAAATCACCCCCCAGGGGGGATGGTCACGCCGCAATCCCTTCTCCTCCATTCTCCTCTTGGGATCTTGGGCACGCACGCACACGCGCCCGGTGTGAGTTTTAAGCCACCAGGTCCGGGACGCGAATCGCGGTCGACTATGTGGGAGTCCAGCAACATAGCCATTACGCTAATTACTGGTTCCCAATAGGATACCATTTCTGCCATTAAAGAGCTCAGAGTCTAAATGGAAAAATTAAACGGGTGAATATATAGATGTAATCAAGTGTGAAAAGCCCTATCAGTGGGGGTGACTGGACATAAGAGGGAGTGACCCCATCTGTATGGGTAAGTCAGGGAAAATTTTGTAGTTGAAGTTTTTTGAACTGAATCATGAAATATGTGGTGAATTTCTCCAGAACCTGGAGAACTGGGGTACGTGAGGAAGGTCGTCCTGGCAGGAGGAGCAGTACAAAGTCTAACAAAGGTGTCACACAGCATGGCTGTTGGGGAGCTGTGTGTGGCTGGAGCACAGGGTGGTAGAAATGTGGGAGTCCAGCAACATAGCCATTACGCTAATTTCTGGTCCCAATAGGATACCATTTCTGCCATTAAAGAGCTCAGAGTCTAAATGGAAAAATTAAACGGGTGAATATATAGATGTAATCAAGTGTGAAAAGCCCTATCAGTGGGGGTGACTGGACATAAGAGGGAGTGACCCCATCTGTATGGGTAAGTCAGGGAAAATTTTGTAGTTGAAGTTTTTTGAACTGAATCATGAAATATGTGGTGAATTTCTCCAGAACCTGGAGAACTGGGGTACGTGAGGAAGGTCGTCCTGGCAGGAGGAGCAGTACAAAGTCTAACAAAGGTGTCACACAGCATGGCTGTTGGGGAGCTGTGTGTGGCTGGAGCACAGGGTGGTAGAAGGGCTACAGAGAAAAAGAAGGATGGAGGACAAGACAGCAGGCCTTCTATGAAAGCCATGTGGAACCCATAGAAGATATGAACCAGAGGAGGTACTGAATCAGAGTTGTACTTTAGAAAGCTCTTTCTGTCATTGTGTGGAAACTGGATCAGAGAAGGGATCATTTGTAACCTTGAGTTGCCCTCATCTCAGTAAAGAAAGAGGATGTACTCCATTGTTTAATACGGCTGACATTTAAAAGCCATATACAAATATTTGGTGATATATTTTACAAAGACTAAAATCAATATTTTATTGATTTTAATTTCATTCTCTGAAAAGCCATGGTGGGATAATTATTCCCCGGTCATTGTAAAACATAATGGATATTTACTGTGGATTTGTCTCAATTCTGGAACTAAGGATGACTCTTGTTTTTCCCACTGTTTCTAACAGTCTGATTTTTTTTCTATTAAAAAGAACCCCCCCAGGGACCAGCAAGTGGCATGGTGGTTAAGGCTCTGGACATTCCCATATGGCTGACCATGGTTCAAGTCCTGAATCTGGTGGCTTGCTTTCTCACTTTCTCACTCTCTCTGTGTCTCTCTCTGGTCAAGATAAAATAAGTAATGAATAAATAAAATTAAAAGTAAATAATTCTTAAAAAAAAAAAGAACCCCCCCTACACCAAATTTGATGGGAGACCTTTCCAGGTGAGTTTATATACATTTTTATTTCATTCTTTGTTTTAACAGTGATCGAATTCCTCTACCCAGTTTCTTATCTCCTATGGATTTAGAGATACCATTGGTATGGCACTAAAGCCATAGCAGGAATCAGTCTAATTTAGTTTTCCTAGAATTCTTCTCTCAAACTGATATTTGTTTCTTGCCTGTGACCAGCCATCTACCTAGGAGATTGTGTTCAAGTTCAATGTATGAGTGCTTGGAACTCCATGTTAAACTACAGCATGGTTCTAGGAACCAGCAGATGGTGTAATGCTTACACATCACTGGACTCCCATGTAGCTGATCATGGTTCGAGTCCTGGACCTGATGGTTTAAAACTTGCACTGGGCATGGGACCAGAAGATGGTGTAATGGTTACTTTCTGGACTCCCATGTAGTCGACTGTGATTTGAGTCCCAGGCCTGGCAACTTGAAACTCACTCTGGGGGCATGTGTGTGTGTGCCCAAAATCCTGAGAGGAGAATGGAGGAAAAAGGATTGCAGGGTGGCCATCCCCCCGCCCCGGGTGGGGATTTCTCACTTTTTGTCTCTCTGCCTCTCTCTGTCTCTCTGGCAAGTGCATGTGCCCTGTAGCAAAAATCTCTCTCAAAATAAAACAAAGCAAAAAACTCATGCTGGACATGTGTGCATGTGGCCTAAAATCCCAAGAGGATAATGAAGGAGAAGGGATTGCGGTGTGACCAACTCCCCTTGGGGGGTGATTTCTTGCTTTCTCTCTCTCTCTCTGCCTCTCCAGTGAGTGCATGTGTCCTATAGCAAAAATATCTCTTTAAAAAATAAAATAAAATAAAATAAATTACAGCATGATTCTCAACCCTGGTTCTACATCAGAGCATCTGGAAGTTTGGGGAAAAAATTATGCTTGGGATCTATCCAATCCCAGTTAAACTATCTCTGTGGATAAGATGCAGGCATCAGTATTTTTAAAACTCCCATGGTGGTGTCATTGTGCATCTAGGGTTCAGAACTACTATTTTAGAATAACTTTGCCAGTGACTGCTTCTTATCTGCATTTGCAAAGTCAGCAAGACAACTTTCATCGTTTTCCTTTTTGTGTACCTCCTTTTATGAGAGAGGAGGCTTTGCATTGGCAAGAATCAAGGCAGAGAAAGCAATGTTTAGCTGAGATAGGTTGGCCTTGTGGGAGTCCAGTGGCCTTAGCCACCACGTCATCTGCTGGCCCCAAGAAACTCATTTTGTTTAGTAGGTCAGAAAGTTGTCTGATAGAGCTATGATTTTACATTCCTATTTTCCTTTCTATTGCTCTAATCCCACAATTTCTTTAAGCCTAAATGTGTTGACTATTGAACAAATTTCTATTAAGCATGATTCTTTGAGGGCAGACTTAATTGGGAGAGGAGAGCAGACTTTCAGGTGCTGAATGAACATGAGCAGAAGAACCCACTCTGCCCTCTGTCCTGAGAACTCTGTTTATTGCTGAGTGTCTTCACCTGTGGGACAAAATTCTCATGCCCAGTTCTACAGTAAATTATCAAGCAAATGCCAAAAGATGTCCTAGTAAGAATATCTGGAGATATTTTTAAAGCTCTCAGGTTTTTCTAATTTTGCAGCCAGCATTCAGAACCATGGTTGTAAAAAGGAGATTTTGGCACTAGGAAGGAGGCTGCCCTGTGAATTCTTCTAATCTTTTTGGACAGGGAGACTTCCTAAAGAATACAGTGAGAGGGCCAGTGGCATGGTAGTGAAGGTGGCTGGATCCCAACTGACTGACTCCACTATTTGAGTCTTGGACTTGAAAAATACACTGAGCACATGACTGTGCGTGACCAAAATCTTGAGAGGAGAATGAGGAGAAGGGATTGTGGAGTATCCCACTGCCCCCATTTTTTTTTCTCTCTCTCTTTCTGGTGAATGCATGTACCCAAAGCAAACAAACAAAAATGAAAAGAAAAACAAAAAAAGAATGCAGTGAGTTGTTCCTGGAAAAAAAGAGCAACAATTTTTTTCTCTGTCTAATACCATCCAGTACATAGTTCTTGTTCAGAAATTTAAAGAAAGTTGGAGCCCTGTTTTTTTTCCCAACTAGTATTTAATTATTAAAAACTTAAGCAACACAGAAATGTACAGATCAAAAGGAAAATTTTCTGTTTTCTTTCTGTCCCTTATTTATGTAGATACTGAAAGATTTTTCTTCCAGTCTGACTTTTATCCTTAACTCCTCTTTAAATTCTTAAATATTACATTAAATATGAAAATCACTGATTTCTAAGTTTTTTGTCCCCTTTGCAAAAGTCGTCTTTTTTTTTTTTTTGGAGATATTTTTGTTAGGGTGTGTGCGCTCGCCAGAGAGACAGAAACAGAGAGACAGAAAATGAGAAATCACCCCCCTAGGGTGATGGCTATGCTGCAATCTCTTCTCCATTCTCCTCTTGGGATTTTGGGCACAACTACACATGTGCTTGCCATGAGTTTTTTCAAGCCACCGGGTCTAGAATTCAAACCATGGTCGACTATATGAGAGTCCAGTGATATAACCATTACACCATCTGTTGGTCCAAAGGTCTTTTTTTGATTCAACATTATTAACAAGAGTTAACAAGGTGAATGTTTGGAGGGTGGATTGTTATAATTTTGGTTGAGAAGTTTTACTCACTTAATTTGCTCACTTAATTTAAAGAATCTAAACAAGAAGAGAAAGCATACTTGCTTTACTGAGTGCCTGACTGTGGTCTTGACACTGCTATGGCTTCCTCACTGTAACCGATGGTAAGCTCCATTTTACACATAAGGAAACAGTGATTTTTCTGCAGTTATGCAGTTAGGGTGTGATGAATCACAGTCCTGGGACATGGTAGGGGGATAAATGAGTATTTACTGGGTGAGTGAATGAACTGGAATTTTATCCTAAGCTTGTCTGACTCAGCTCAAGCTCTTTCTCCAATATTCCATTGTTGCTTCTTGTACTTTCTACACAAAACAGCCTGAATTCAGCATAATTCTGGGATCAGGATAGATTATTACAAAATAAAACATTATCATTTGTATTAATTTCCTCCTTCTAATTATGCAAAGCCAAAAATCTAGCTAATTGTAGACGGGGCTAAGATGGAGCTTAGGGAAAAGTTGACTTTTCAGTTTCGGGCTTTAATTTTGGACAAGGCAACAACAACAGGAAGAGGAGGAGATGCAGAAAGGAGGTAGGATTCAGATCTTTCACAGTAAGACTATCAGGCAGCAGGACACATTCATCGCTGAGAAAACAGAATCCTCTGCAACAGGATTTGTTTGGATCCCTGGTATCTTTCACATACATGGAGTCCCAGGTGGGCAGGTAGGACTGACTTTGACAAATGCTTTGAGTCTGGTTTCTCTTTTCCCCCCTATCTCTTTCAGAACATGCTTCTAGAACTTTCATCTATTATGAAAAAATAATGCACCAGGAACAGCTGGCACCTGCAGAAAGAAAAGTTGTGCCTTGATCAGCTTAAAGTTGAAGCAGAACTTCAGGACCCATACCCTCCACAGCGATACCTGCCAGGTGCTGGGCTGTGTACAGGATGCTCCCGGCTTGGGCTCCCCTCTGCAGGAGACACTGCTCACGGGGGCTGGGGTCAGCCTCTTAGTACCCTGCCTGGCTGCACTGCTCAAGGCAGGTCCAGTGTGGAGGCATGGTGAGACTGTGCACCATCAGAGAAAATTTAGGGGCAAGAGCTGCTTCTGCCCTGAGGAGGAGCATTGGGATGCAGCTCCTCTTCCCCAGCCCCAGAAGCTTGGTAGGACATTTTGCTGAGAGAGTATCAGATCTACAGCTGCAGCAACAGTAAAGGTGGCCCCTTGAATGTGGGTCCAGAGAACCTGGACCTCTTTGCTTAGCCTGGGCTCAAACACACTTTCTGTCATGAAGGAGAGGTTGATGAGAAACTTTTTGTTCTCATCAGTTCATTTCTAGGGGATGAACTAGTTAGATTTTTAGTTCATAAATGCTATAGAAATAAAATAATGATTAAGACACACAAACACTAGTATCACATGGTTTATTGTGTTCTTCTGGGGAGTATTCATAATGAGTGGTGATATCATGATTGTGGCAAAACAGATACTTGGGGAGTGTTAACAGACAGCACTTTTCTTTGTTCTTCAACTCCCCCCTTCCCAGTGCTCCTGAGCCATGTAGGAAGGGTGCATCTAAAAGTACTTAGCACTTCTGAGGCCAGCAGGTGGTGTAGGTGGTTAAGGTGCTGGACTACCATATGGTCAACCTTGGTTCACATCCTAGACCTGGCAGCTTGAAAATTACACCAGGCACATTTGTATGCATATCCAGAATCCCAAGTGGAGAATGGAGATGGGACTGTGGGTGGCATGGCCATCCTCCCTGGGGAGTGATTTCTCACTTTCCCTCTCTGGTGAGTGCATACACACTATGACAAAGACCAAACCAAACCAAACCAAACAAACAAACAAAAAAAACCTTAGCACTCCTTGTATTTAGAGAGATGGGATGGCATGTGGTGGGTGCTAACTAGCTGATATTTATGACTGCTCGGCTGATAGTTACTTATCTGAGTTTTGAGAGCTGTAAAGCTAGGGTCAAATCCCATGGAAGGAGCCACTTATATCCTCAATTTTCCATCTATGGCCAGACTATCCACCAACTCTTGCCATGTTTCTTACAAAAAAGGCTTTAAGTCCTAAGGAAAATAAATTTTCTTCAAAATTAGAAAGGTTTGCATCATCTATCTCCTGTGCCATGAAGTCCACAGGAAATTCATGCATTGGCTCCTGACTCTGACCTCATTCCCTGTGTCATGTGCCCTGACACGCTGCTTATGGCCTCCTGCTTCTCCCAGTTGTTGCTCAAAGAGCAGTGGGTTGCTGGGAAACCACATTCCCTGGGCCTGCCTTTTGGAGATTTATTATTTCCTTTTTATTTTTTAAAAGAATTACTTTAAATTTAATTTTATTCATTATCATTTTCTTTCTTTCTCTTTCTTCCTTTCTTCTTTTCTTTTCTTCTTTCTTTTCTTTCTATTTTAAGTTGACCAGAGAGATACAGAGAGAGAGGAGGATTGTGATTGACCAGAGACAGACAGAGAGAAAGAAGGATAGTGAAAAAACAAGTTGGCAGGTCTGGGATTTGAACCATGGTCAGCCATGTGGGAGTCCAGCCACCTTAATTACCATACCACCTGCTGGCCACGGAGATTCATTATTTCTAATGGAGGTAGTATCATCTTCTCAGCCAGCCTTTCACCCATTATGCGTTTCTTGGTATCAGATTGGTAATTACAGTGACAGATAGTATTTATTATTATTATTATTATTATTAT